ACGTAAGTATATGTGTGGTTATAAGTATCCGTTTGTTCCCGTGTTATCCCATAATAAAGATGTTCCAGAAAAGTCTATTGTATTCTTGTATAATATATAATTTCTAATACTTTATTTTATTATTTCATCCTGATTGATAAAATTATATCCTTTGAATTGTATTCATATGGAGATATAATAGATCTTTTTTTAAAAAAAAAAATGATCTAAATGTTTTAGAAGCACTCCACCACGAAAAATTAAAAATAAAGAATTTTATTTTGTTAAGATTCTACTTCTGTATATAAAAAAAAAAAGAATTTTCAAAATAAAAATTTATGATTATATCAATCTAAATGAAAAAAAAATTGATAGAAAGATATATTAAAGAGTTGAATTCTAAACAGAAATATGATAAACACGGTTAAAAATATAAAAATTGATAGTTGGATTATTTTATTGCTTTTGGTTTGTCATTATTAACTTTTTTTTAAAAAACAAAATATAGTAAAATAATATTTTTAAGTATAATATCAAAAATAAAAAAATCTAAACAAATATATTTTTAATTAAAAAATATTTTTAAAAACAACATATACACACTTACAAAATAAACATAAACTTTTACTACTTTACGAAAATGTTCAGAAACGTAGTGTAAATCATATTTTTTTAAAATTAATTTTTTTATATTTAGATTGTTTTGATGTGCTGATCTCAAATATAATCTTTTAAAAATAAAAAAAATATCATTTTAATATATTTCAATATAAAAAATATTTTAAAAAACAATCCTAACTAGACTCATCTCATCATACATATATATGTTCTACATTCTTTCAAATTCTTGCTTGATTACTATTTCTACAATATATATTATTAATCTCCTATCTTAAACTATCAACATTCTTATTTTTTAGACTGTTGACAAGTGAAATATTTGTCGATGCTTCTGGCTCAAGTTTGTAAAAACCTTACAGAACTTTGAACATCTAAAGAATTATTCAAAACCCAGAATTTTTACAGTGGTTTTCAATTCCTTGATTTATGTGGAATTTAACATGGTTTTTGATACATCTTTAAAAATCTCAAAGGAGTAATATTTCTGGAATTTAACATGGTTCTTGATACATTTTTTTTTTTAAAAAAAACTTTATTGATCTCTACCTTCTATTTTCTATTAAGACATGTATGAAAGTTGGGGTTGCAATGGCGAGAGCATGACTTTCTGAAGGTTCAAAAAGGTTTCGTTCAATTTATTGATGGTTTCAAAGCAACCTAAACTCTTGTACGCATAAATGATCATTATAATAAAAAAAAGCTTACAACTTAATCTTCAATATATAACTTTTCAAGTCCAAAAACTCAAATTACCTTATAAAAATAACATGAAAAAAAACTCAAATTAACTTTTTAAATTCATAACTTTTATCATAAAAAAATAATCCTATAAAAAATAAATAAAAATAAATTATAAAACTTAATTCTCAACTGATCTAATATCAAATGATAAAATTTGAGAAAAAAATCTCGGTTAACTATCTAAGTATTATTCTCAGGTTATAAAATAATGATAACTTAATAAAGAAAACCAAAACAAATTATGAATCTTAATTCTCAATCAATCTAATATTAAATATTAAAATTAAAAAAAATTTAAAGAAAAACCGTTAAGTCACCTAGATTACCTTGTAAAACCTGCAACCTAAGTCATAAAATTAAAAGACTAGTGATCTAAATCATGAGACCTAAATAACCTTATGGAAAAAAATTAAAAAATAACTTAATTTAACTTAAGTTAATCTATAAAACTCGCGAACCTAGTCATGAGTCCTGGATTGTCACATGAAAAATAAATTAAAATAAATTATAAAACTCAATTCTGAATTAATTTAATGGTGAATAGTGAAATTAAAAAAAATTAAGTTAAAACACAGATACAACAACTCTAGCCAACTTGCTAAACACTATTCTCGGAATACGAGGCAATAATAACTTAATAGAAAACAAATCATGATATTTAATTTTTAATCAAAACAATATTAAAATATAAAATTAAAAAAAAATTAATTAAAAAAAACTTAAATTAACAAAATTAATCCAGTATTTCAGAGTAAAACAACTTAATAAAAAAATCCAATTTCAATAGCAAAGCCAAGCCGGCTAGGTGCCTGCCCAAAACCAACACCAATCCGAAGAAAAATATACGGGCCCTTTTACTGATCAAACAATGGGCCAGGCTTAACACAAGCAACCCGAGTATTTTTAGAGACTAAAAGTACTTGAAGGCCTAGTCAAGTAACAAAAAGACCGAGTTCCCTCTTACCTCTTCTATTTAGGAAGGTCAAAACATTCATCTAAAGAGTTTGTTATGACTTATGCCCAGAAACCATGCATCCAAAAAAAACAACAAATCATAATAAATAAATAAATTAAAAGAAGACATGTTTTATGAGTTTAAGAAAGGGACCTTCAAATGAAAAAAAACGAAGGCGAACAAGGCTGCTGGACTTAAGAACTCTGCTACACTGATTTGTTGTTGCTCACGGCTGCTGCTGGAGTTGGTGTCATCTACCGCGGTTGCTGATGATTCTGCTTCTCTCGGTTGCCGCTGGATGTTACAGTTGGGTCACGATTTTGTGGAGGAAGACAGTAACTGTTATTTCTAGACCGCTGCTACTGGATGAAGCTGCACTGCTGCTGATCTTGAAGGTTGCTGCTCACGGTGATGGTTCAGAGAGGTTCGCTGCTGCTGGAGGTTCTTCCAATTGCTAAGTGGATGTGATGATCCGTGGAGAACGATCGCTGTTGCTGGATGGAGAAGAAACCTTGGACAATCGGATGGAGTCTCACGATGCTGTCACGTGAAGAGAGTTTGCTGGAGTGGCTGCAGCTTCTCTAATGGTGGGAGATACAGAGGAAACTGTTGGTCTGCTTTGGTTGAGGCAATGGTGGATGGTTGGCTGATGAGCTTGCAGTTGAAGATGATGGCAATATTGGAAGCTACTGGAGTCAGGCAGTGGGCGCGCAGGGCTGAGAAGTGACGTGCAGCCCTTGCTGATTGAGGTCGGTTGGTGCTGTCGTTGCTGGTATCAGTGGGGCTTCAAGTGATGTGATGGTCTCCGTGTGGGTTCTCGGGTTGAAGAGCTGCTGTTACTATCATGGATTTGAAGGAGAAAATGACTGGAGTTAGGAGGCGACATAAGTTGAGGGATGCTGCTGGGAAATGAGATAGAAGGCTGTCAGTTATTCTATTTTTTGGAGGGGCTATCACTAGAAAAGAAGAGCTTGTGTTCATGTAGGTTTTTCAGAGGAAAAAAATAAAATGAGGGAGCTTTGGTTGCTGGAAGAAGGGGGTCTCCAGTGTTCAAGAAAATTAGATGGTGCGCGAGCTTGGCCTTTTAAAATGAAAAGGAAAGGAAATGGCGAGTATGTGGCTTAGGCTTGGGTGGATGATGATGGGACCTTGGTGGCTGACAGTAATGGGGTTTCTGCGTGCAGTTACTGGTTGTCTAGTGTTGCCCTCCCAGGAGGCTGTTTTCGTCAGGGTTTTGAAGGCAGAAACGGGGAGGTTACAGGAGTTATGAAATGATGGGATCAATACTTAATTGGTGTCGAGGAATAAATCACAACTCTTTATTAAAGTAAGCATATAAGATTGTCTTCTTCTGCAACTGATAAGGGAGGATGGAAGCTGTTTTTAGAGGCAAAGCGGTGTTGAGTTGTGTTCTTGGAAGAGAATATGCAGATGCTTGTAATGTAATAAAAGCTGAAGTTATGGTTTAGAGTGAATTACAACAATTTAAGAAAGGGATTAAGCTATAAGCATATTTAAATACAAGAGTATGTGATACTGAGAAGTTTATATCAAGGGGACTAATTAATGACTTACTAAGAAAACAGGGACTAATTAAATAATTTACTTCATCCAAAAAATGAATTTTTGTGAAAAACAACAGAGTTTGGTAAAAGTTTTAGAAATATAATACAAGTTGAAAAAATACTTAAAAAATCACACAATTTTAACATAATTGTGTTTGTGAATATTGATTTATATAGTGGTTCTTTAGTTAAAAGTCAAAACACATGTCTCATGCAAATTAGTTAATATATATATAAGTTAATCTATAATTTTATAAAAAATTAATAATCAAAAAATAATATTCAAAATTCAACAAATAAAAAAAAGAGATAAAATAAGCTAATGTGGCAAGAGAGAAAAATGAAAAAAAAAATAAGAAAAAGAAAGAATAGGTTAATGAAGACTTATCAAGATTTTGTTTTTAATAAATTAGGTAATTTTAGAAAAATCTTGATTTGATAATAACTATATATTAAAAAATTATTAAACAATAATGTAATTGGTCAGGGTTTTTATCTAGAGTTAATTTAAGATTAAAGCAGTTTATGAATTTCATTCGAGGTTAATTAATAATTTTTTAAGATATAGTTAAAATTATTTAATTAAAATTTTATAATGATAAAATATGTTCAAAAAAAATATTATAATGTGTTTTCATGATCCATTCTATTTTTTTTAAATTTTTTCTCTCTTGTCACATCAATTTATTTCCTTTTCTTTTGGTCATTTGAATTAAATTATGAATTTTATCTCTTGATTATTAACTTTTTATAATATTTTAAGTTGATTTTTATATGCATAACTTCTTATAAAATAACTGTTATTTTTAGTAACATTTGTGTACCAAACAAATATTTAAAAATATAGTTATTCTGTAATTATTCATATAATTTTTCAATTTATATTATTTTTTGAGTAATTTTATGGTGTTTAAATAGTAATTATTACTATTTTATTAGGTATTTTTCAAATTCATTTTGAAAAAATAAAGAAATATAACTATAACAAAAATATAGATAAAAATATTCTCATTACTTTTATGAATATTTTTTTCAGTGTTTTTCTCTTTATGTTTTTATCTTGAAACACTGACCATATTTTTATTTTTATTTTTATTTTTATTTTCCTATTGCTTTTACCAAACTGTGATAGAACGGTAAAAAAACGAAAAAAACCTTCAAGGCCATCTCTCTCTCTCTCTTCTACCCTTCTACCTCGCTGATACACTCTCCCTTCACTCCTAAAAAACGATGTCGTATATCCCTCCTCACCTGAGAAACTCAAGCTCAACCACTACCGTTACTACTAGCAGAACTCAGTCACCGCCTTTAACAGACACTAATCTCTCCCATTCCTCTTCAAATTCCACCTCCCCGCCACTTCTTCTTCCTCCACATTCAACTCTCTCTCCTTACGGACCTCCGCCTCCGTCGCGCGAACCATCTCAGTTCCTCAACCTGTTTTTCCTCAGTGGAGGCCCTCCGACCGCGTCCTTCGCTTCTCTCCAGATCAAGTTCACTTCCTTTTCAAGTTCTCCAATCTTTTTCCGATTTTTGTATTTTAAGTGATTATTGTACTAAATTGCTTTATTTATCAGTAATCTGTTCTCACAAAAAAAGAAAAAAATTGAATTTATTAATTAAAATTATTTTTAGCTGTGATTAAATTTTTCATAATAAATGCAGATTGAAGAAATTCGTTCTCAGCTCAAAATAAATGTCAATGTTGCTTCGGGTTCATCTCCTGCACCTGCGCCTATTGAATCATTTGAAGATATGGTAAATTCACTTCAAAAAAAAAAAATTAGTAATTTTTTTTTTGAAGTTGCTATATTTAGTAATATTTTATTTGATTATCTGGTGAATATTTGTCAGTGTTTGCATCAAAGTACCATGAAGGATATTGCGCATCATGAGCATACGCGGCCGACTTTGATTCAGGCTCAGGCAATGACAGTTGCCCTTAGTGGAAGGGATTTGTTGGGTTGTGCTGAAACTGGTAGTGGAAAAACTGCAGCATTTACCATTCCTATGATACAGGTGATCGATGTTAGAAGTCGTTTTATAAGAAGATATGTTCTATGGTATTGTATTTATTTTGCTGTTTTTGATTGGGATTTTTATTTTTTGTTGTGTTGATCTGGTAGCATTGCTTGGCTCAACCTCCTGTTCAGCGTGGTGATGGACCATTGGCGATGGTGTTGGCTCCTTACAGAGAACTTGCTCAGCAAATTGAGAAAGAGGTGTGATACCTGGTCCTTAGATGTAGAGAGCAATGATATACTCATGGATTACATCTGTCATTCTGGTCATGTTTTGTTTATATACATTGTGGAGTATCATCAATGTGTGGAACTGTCTTTGAAAACTCCTTTTGCATTTGGTTAATTTTTTTTAGTTGGGACTATTATTGACTTTATTTGTATTGATGGAACTTATTTTCCTGAGGTTCCTGTCCATACTTAGATTTGTAGTTGTAGCAACTAGTAAGTTTATATAGCGTTTCTACTTTTCCTGGCATGTTTTATTGGACCCCTTAATTTATTTGTTTTGGGGTTTTGGATCATTGACATACTTTTCAAGCACCACCAACTTTTTTTTTTAGATTAACGTGGGTGTTTTTTTTTTAGATTAACGTGGGTGTCCAGTTTGTATGCACCAGTGATGTGATGTTTCAATGGTTGCTTAATTACCTCTAATCAATCTTATTCAATGTTTATATTGAACGGATGCAAATGCGAATGCATGTTCTGATATATTATATTTTTATATTTGATTATGTTATTTTTAAGATTATAATGCAACGAGGGATTGCAATTGTAATGATTCATTACACTACAAGTATTATGTACATGTAAGCTATGTATTTAATACTTAATGAGTAATCATGCAAGGATGTAATTGTAGAAAGGGTTGTCATAGGAGGGCTAAATTGTAATTTTATAAATCACAAGGACCAGAAGATTTAAAGGAAGAATTAATTTGTAAATTAAAATAGAACATGGGGTGGTCTAAAATAATTCCTTTTAGAAATCACAAGGGCTGAAATAAAATATTATAAAGACTCCTTCACATGACTAAAAGCCTTGCCGACAAATAAAATAATCTTTTTCATTGCATCACATGGAATAAAAACAAGGCTTGAAAAGCCAAAACAATAGCTTGTGGTTGTGACCTGAAAAGGCAGGCTTAAAAGAAGTCATAAAGTCTTCAAGCGAGTCTTTAGCTTTTACGTTGCTCAATCACACCGCGCACTGTTAGGAATTGCTTGGCGCTTCCCATTCTGCCAGGAAGGTCAAATAGTGAAAAGCCTGACGCTCCACCAGTCACGGCGGCCAGCATTTCTTTCTCCTTACTGTCTACCTAGTAGAAGAGCTTTCTAGTGGCCTTTTGCTGTATGATTTATTCTTCTTTGCTATTCCTTTGATGAGTCTAATTGGGGACAGCTTTGTCGAATTTGAAGAAGGGAATGAGTATTGTGGAAGTTGATGCCTCCTTCCACCTTTCGTTTATACTAGAAAAGCTCTAATACCTTGTCAACCACGATAAGAAAAGGTAATACAGCGATACCTACTAGTGACGTTGACGACAACAATACAAAGAAATATAATAAATATTAAAGATTGGGTAGAAATTTTGCAGAAAAGGAAAAGCTTTCATTTCTTCTATTCGAAGTACAGGTAAATTAAGACAAACCCATTCAGTAATAGGTTCGGTAAGAGTCTGACTGCAAGAATCCTCATCTACTTTTATGTTCGAGGAATTATTTTTACGGCCTCAAGAACCCCCAACACATTAGTTCTTCTTGAGATGTTTGCTATACAGACCAAAGAAATGCCACAGGACTACTAACCAACAATGGTAAACCCAGGCATCACTCAGCTCAAACATGAGGCATGGCAGAAAAAAAAAAAAGGAAATACATGATTACGCTACTGAGTACCTGACTGGGCTCACACTCGCACTGCAGCACTATCAGATTTGCAGTTGAGTTGCAGCCACAACCTAACTTTATGTTGCCAAAACTGGAACTCCCTTGTGCCCAGCAAAAGCCTGTCGTAGAGTATGATAACCGTTCCTGTAATGTTCAAGAGTGAGACACAGTTGCCTTATTACCTCACGTTTCTCTTCTGCTCCTTCCAGGATTAAAATTCTTTGCCTCTCAACTTCTCCCTCCAAATCCTCAGCTTTTGATCTTAACTCATCCATTAGTTTACGTGCCTCTTCTGCCCCGGCAAGTAGCTTGACATGCTCCATGTGTAATTGTTGCAGATGCTTATCCATTTGATTGACCCGGTTGTCTCCAGAAGTTACCCCTGCTTTAAGTGTAATAGCTTTCTCATTAAGCTCATCTCTCTCAGATTTTATGCGACTGTCTCGCTCAGCAGTGTCTTCCTTTAACTTCTGAATTTCACGTTCAAGTGTTTCCTGCATTTCTGCCTTCTCAGCCTGGAACATCCTGATACCATCCTCTAAAGAACGGCAACGTGATTCCTGTTCTTTCAGCCGCTCCTCCAAGCATGTCCTCTCCTCTATCAATTTAGATATTTCAGCCTTGATCCGTGCCTTTTCTGGAAAAATCTTCAGCTCAGCATCAGACATTGCTATTTTAAGATCTCTCATCTCACAATCCCGGTCTGACAGATTAGTTTTCAGCCTGGCAGTTCTTTCTTGCAGCTTGGAGACCTCCCTTTTTTCTGCGTTGAGCTTGTTTTTCAACGTATTTATCTCCTTGTGAGCCAACGCCAGTTGATCTTGCAAATTATTGATTTTCTCAGATGGTCCACCACCCTCAAGTTGTTTTTTCAAAGTAGCTATTTCTATCTCTGAAACATGAAGCCTCTCTTTAGCAATCCTGAGTTCTTCCATTAGTGCTTGAATCTTAACATTGGAGTCCAAAGTTTCAGCTTCCGACCCGCCAATCCTTTGTTGAAGATGAGAAGCTTGATTTACCTCAAATTCCAGTTCAACCTCCCTGGTTATGACCTTGCTCTCAGCTGGCGATGCGAACTCAGACTGCAAACCATCAGAGACTTCAGATGACCTATATTTTTGAAGCTCAGTATTCAATCGAGTAACCTCTTCTTCTGACAGCCGTAACTCCTCATTTGCAATTGTCAGATCTCGCTCACACCCTGTAATTTCTGCAAGAACATCCTCAGAATCTTCATTTCTGACACCCCTAAATGATCCATCAACACTCTCATCTTGCTGCATCCGTAGCTTTTCTTTCGTTTCACGAAGCTCAATTTCTAAATCAATTATTCTCCGGGACAGTCCTTGGTCACCACTATTCCCAGATAGACCTGAGTAATTGCTTACTGAAGAATCATCAGATTCTGATTCTGAATCCGTCAACGTGGATAATTCGTCTACTTCTTTACGGTGATGATCGCTACTGCCACCAGAGCCCAAAAAGAAATTAAAACCAGCAGCTCGAGGGCCGGATTTAAGACGGCTTGGTTTTTGTTCACCAGCAGGAGAAGGTGGTTCAAAGATAACGTCAGAAATCCCAGAGCCCTGGGACTGGAGATCTGATGGAATGCTCTTCCTTAATTCTTCTGTCACGTGATCGTAACGTTCTGCCAGAGATCGGTACATCCGGTAGAACTCCTCTACATGAGAAATCAATTCTGGTCTCCTCTGATAATACATCTCAGCCTTTTTAGCAAATGAGTCTCCATCCTCTTCAATTAGCTTCAGCATCCGCTTAACGCTCTGGTCCATCTCTGCAGTCAAGGATCGTTTTCTCACTTTTTTTCTTTGCATTTTGGAGATAAAAATGATCACAGGAACTCACTGTTTTGTGATGCAAAATACAAAGTTCAGAGAAAACAACTACTGTTACAAAAAATCAGGGGGGTTCCGGATTGACCATGGCAATCACTCAGGGTATTCCCATGTCGGAAACAAAATAAAAAATAAAAATTCATCAGGAGCAAATGGCTATCTTTAACTAGAGAATAACCACTATTCTTTTGGGGTGGTAAAATAGAGGCAGGCCCCAAATATGGGCACCAGACAACAGTATTGACCATGCATGTCCTTTTAACACATTTATCTTGTCTCTGAGGAGCATTTTTACTTAAATTTGCGATTCCAAAGACGCGGCAAGACACCCTTATTTGATAATCTGCTCCTATTTCACATTTGATTCATGCACATTTCTGTTCTACCAACAAGTCCTTGAATGAAAAGGGACAGCGAGAAAGCAGTAGCTCACCCTCAAGATTCTCAGTGTGCCACTTGGAATTTTTAGGACTGATATGACTATCCCACCACCAGGAATGTGATTTTCTTGATTGCAATCCCTTGAAATTCTTAGACGGGACCTGAAATTCATAAAAAGAGCACCAGTTACAAAAACCAACTCAGACTAAATTTCTTAGAATGATGAGAACATTCAGCGAACAGATGAGACTGCAAAACTATAGCCCATCACCGAGGTCGAACATAGGAAACCAATTGTTTGCTAAAACTAGAGGAAAAGGAAAATCTGTTCTCACCATCGGAGAAGCCATTTCGGACGTTGAAGGGAATGATGCGGCGGTCCAAAATAAACTGATGTGGTATTATCAACAAACCTGCCACACAGTTACAAAGATAGCTATTACATATAGTCTTCATGGTGAACAAATATCTTAACAACTAACGCCCCCAAAACAAAACAACGTAGTTTTAAAACACATAGTGCCGCCACTTGTTCATATTTCTAGAAATGTTTTTTAATTAATTTTTTTATTAAAATAATTAAAAAAAATTTAGAAAATATCAATTTAATATTTCTCTTATAATTTTAAAAAAAAAAATATATCTTTTTATATTAAAAGTGTGTTTGAAATTCTAATAATAATGGCAATTATTTTTTTTTATAGAAATGTATTAAAATATTTTTTATTTTTAAAAATTATTTTTAAAATCATTATATCAAAATAATTTAAAAATATAAAATAAATTATTTTAAATTAAAATTTTATAATTTTTTTTGAAAAAACATAACTTAGACGCGTTTCCAAACACGCTTTAACAACAGGTGTTCAAGCCGACTTGAAAAATAAGTGGGTGGAAAAATGGTGTTAATCCAAAATGATTTTTTTTTTTAAAAAAAAGAAATTGAAAAGATAATGTTTTGAAAAAAAATCATGCCGACAAGAAGTACAACTCCTTTGTCTGAAAATCACTAAACTCTGTAGCATTAGTTAAAATATTCCCTTATTAGACGCAGAAAATTGCGAATACCAAAATCCAAAAGGGTTTTTTCCTTTGTTTCTATTTCGGTTAGAAAAACAAGCTTTATGAACTAACTAAGAAAATTGATAAGTTTTGTTGATTTCTTCGGTAGTTTAAAGGGATCAAGACTGAACATTTGTTTATTTTAGTGGAAATAGAAAGATTGAATCTTTAGAATATTCCACCAAAAATGAGAAAAAAGATTGAATTTTTACATTTGCATTTGTTTCAGTAATGAGGTGAAAAAAAGAAGCTGCAAAATTCAAAAGGGTCACTGGTTTTTAATGGCAGAAACTAATAATCTTCAAGTGGAGATCAAATCAAACAATCTAGTTAGCACATTAACCACTACATATCATGATATAAATCAGCTCATACAAATTGAAAAGGATAAAAGAAGACTGAATCCATAGAAAAGAGAAGTAAACCAAAGCAGCAAAAGAAAGAGAGACTGGAACAAGGTGGAGCATACAGTAGAGAAAGAAAGAGGCTTTCTTGTTTGCTGTTATTGGAAATCTCGAGGGATGATAATTAGGGGCATATGCAGTAGTAGACTAGTGGTGATGGATGATCAGTCTCAAAAGAAAGAAAGGCGGAAGTAATAGAGACAAATCTGATGAAATTGTTTGCCCACTCACAAGAACCACAACCCCACAACTACAAGAGAGAGAGAGAGAGATGTGAAGAGTTATATTACATAACAATGGAGGAAAAATGGGATATAATGGATACCTTTTTAAAAATCTGGTTTCCCACTTGAATCTCCATACAAGTCAATGCACTTAAGCAATTGCAACACATGGGATTTAATTTTTAATGATTGACTTAATTTTTCATAATCAATTAAATTTGAAATAATCGTGCATATGTACTTGAAAATCTCAAATTATTCTAAACAAATTTATTTTATACACCGATCTCTGTTTTTTCTTTCTTTTTTAATAGATAGAAAAACCCTCAGAATCTTGTACTAAATCTAGTTGTTTCCCTGCAATAAGAATTGCTGTTTCATTTCTCCTTCACTACCATCTAATTATTTCTAATTAAGACGTGTAGTTGAATGAGAAGATATTGCTAAAATTATCGATTAAGCAAACGAGATCATGTCCTTATTTTGGATGCCGAAGGACGTGGCAAACTTTATCTATGAAGTGTGGATTTTTTTTGGTGTGGTCATTTTGACAAGCAAAAAGTGCATACTGTAGCTTAGATCATGGCTGTTAGAGAGAACGACAGAGGGGACCTAGGAATAGGTTTAATTACTGCAAAAAAAAGAACAAAGAAAAAAAAAAGCCCTTCTATTCAAATGGTTTTGAAAAATGGGGTTCAGGAACCAAGAACGATAGGAAGAATTCATAAGAAGAAAGTATAACCTAAACATTTTGGATGATGTTTGGGTTGGTGAGAATGCTTAGTCGTCAGAGTTTTATCCCTGTCTTCGTAAATTATCTAGTCAAAGAAATAATATTCTGGGTAGAATGAGGCCTTGGATTGCTGGTTGCTGAAGATGTATGCATTCTTTGATGGAACCGAGATATTAGAAGCGCTACTTGGCAGTTTAATGGAGGTTATTGAGCAAATCCATTAGCACAAAGGAACAACTTGAATCCACTCTTTCAACAAAAGATTCAGCTATAATTTTCAATCTTGTTACTTCATTTTTCATTTCCATTGTTGTATTACTTTTTTTCACTTCTTATGCTAGCTGGGTTTTCGTCTACTAAATGGCTAGCTTAATATATATAATCTCTCCAGTTTCGTTAATAATAAAAAAAAAAAATTCCTTTTCACGGTAATTAGCGAGCTATTTTGATATAGGTCCATGAAAGTATAAGATAATGATTTGGGTTACTAAATTATTCTTGTTTAGTAAGATCATCTTAGTCCTATTCGCAACGTCATGAAGCATGGTGGTCAATTAATGTTAGAAGAGAAGATCTCTAGAGATGTCTCCACACGGAGTGGAACATGGCGAGATGTTTATTTATTGCTTTCGACTTTGTAACCGAAAATAAATGGAACAAAGTCAAAAGGCCAGGGTTTCTCTTTGTCTTTATCCTACAGTCTGTCCCTTCTGAAGCCAGCAAGAATTTCTTAGCGATGGCTTCTTTGTTATTTTTGCAGGATGGTATGCCATTATCGAAGCAGGATGTAGAATTATACAAGTAAACATCAAGAACCCAGCTTGCAGGCCTCTCTCTTTCCACTGCTAACCCTATTAACTAATTAAAAATACAATGATTAACACGCCATTGCCATCGAACTGCATATATAGGCTCTCACACATATGTACACAGCACTTGTTCTGATATCACTTTCACGTTAGGTTAATTGAGTAAATCGAATGCATTTCACACGCAAGAAACGAGAAGGAAACTCCGTTAACAGGTGGCTTCATCTCTGTTTGTCCCCCCTGGCTTATATTTTTTATTTTTTTTTAAATTTGTCCGGGCCAGTTTGCGCGTACCACGACTAATTCTACGGGCCCTAAATCTACGAACCCTGAAGTTAATAACCATGTAAGTCTCCAATGACCATGATATAGCAACCAAAACTCAACCATGATAATACACTTTTAATCGCAAATCTTTACACCTAAATAATTAACCCTTGCTTATATTAAATATACAAGATGTAGTCGTGTGCCTTGGAGTTGGCATGATGGTATTTAATTAACAGGAGATATGTTCAGTCACTGCAAGTTTTCAGCTTCGCGTCACATGCTTCTTAGAACTGCCCGTGTCTCGAGCCTTGAGTATTCTTGCCGCATGTTGTGCATAGCTCGCACCCATTGTAATTGACACATGCAAGTCCAATTGGTTATAATATGCTTGTGTGTGTGTGTGATGAGTTAATTATCTAACTAAGCCTGGCTACTAAAGAGTCTTGAAGACTAAAAGAAGTAAAATCGATGCCACATCTGAATTCTGCAGGGCAGCCCTTGCAATTTCCAAACAGCTACCTTAATTTGTTGGTTTTATAATCTAGTTTGTCGATGTATTGTAGCTTCTTCCTTCAAAAAATGGGGACCACACCACACAAGAAAAGGTACATTTACCTTTACCCATTGACAAATCACATTATGCCAATATCATGCATGAATATCCTAAATTGACCTTCACACCTGTTTCCAAGACAAATAGCGATAATCCTTATCATCGACATCCTATCAGAACCAAGAAGATTGAATAAACAATTGAAGTATGCCAGCTTGCATAGCTTTAGTGGTTGTGGTTGGCCACAAAAATTAATTTTTCTAGTTTTTTTTGGTGGATCCCATACACAACTCAATCTCAACCACAAAAACAAACACACAATCATTAATCAGTCATCATACAAGAACCAAGATCGAATAAACAATTGCAGCTGAAGGAAATTAGTCCAAGAATATTCAAGCACTGCTAGCTAAGTGAGAATTTCCAGCTGGGGAGGTGGGAGGTGGGCTAAAATGAACGAGGTGGTCGGACTTCAAAAACCGTACTTTGTTCTAGTCCATGGAGTATGCCATGGAGCCTGGTGCTGGTACAAGATCAGGTGTCTCATGGAAACATCTGGCTATAAGGTCACATGCCTAGACCTTAAAAGTGCTGGTATTGATCAGTCCAATCCCAACACGATCCTCACTTTTGATGAGTACAATGCACCCCTTATCGACTTCTTGTCGAATTTGCCACACGATGAAAAGGTAAACTAACTAAAAGCTTCTGTCAACTATAAGCGATTGATTTTTATGGGATGCTTGCTTGCTTCGCTGTATATATGTAGGTTATATTGGTAGGACATAGTGCAGGAGGTTTGAGCTTGACAGACGCTATACACAGATTTCCTAAGAAAATTCATCTGGCTATTTATGTTGCTGCCAACATGTTGAAGCATGGCTTCTCTTCAGATCAAGATTTCAAAGATGTAAGAAATTCCTTAATCACTTGTCTTATTTGCTAGTGGCCTTCATAATTTGATCAAGTTAGATCATGAGGTATTTTGTGCTATATTCCAAGTTCCAGTTGATAGGCTATATTTGACTTTCCCGGCTGAAGCTTGTATCAGCAAATCCTCCATGTCTTCCAATTCTGATGACTGCAATTGTTAGTGCTTGTTTGTAAGATACAAAATCTCTTATAATTTGTCTTGCTTTCCTGGTGACATCTTGCATGCTTTCACCCCTTGGAGATTAATCTAAGATCATTTTTGCATCTAAAGGGCCTAATTCATGTCTATATATATATATGGATCGAGCAGGGTGACCCTGATGTATCTGAGTACGGAGAGATAGCTGATTTAGAATACGGGATGGGTCTAGATGAGCCTCCAACTAGTGTTATAATAAAGGAGGAGTTCCAGAAACGAATTCTCTATCAAATGAGCCCTAAAGAGGTATATATTGATTTATTTCGTGTCTTTTGACACTAGTAGCTAGCATGATTGCATCTCTTAACAATCCCAGCCCCTTGATTATTGGTTTTGGACCAAGTCGATCAGGACTCCATATTAGCATCAATGCTACTGCGAGCAGGGCCTGTCAGGGCATTCAAAGGTGCTAGATTTGAGGGAGGAAAGGATGCTGATATTGTTCCACGAGTATATATTAAGACATTGCACGATCACATTCTAAGACCAGTGCAGCAAGAGGCAATGATAAAGAGATGGCAACCTTGTCAAGTTTTTGAATTGGAGAGTGATCATAGCCCTTTTTTCTCTGCCCCATCTTTGCTTTTCAATGTAATAGTCAACGCAGCAGCCACCATCACTTGTAACTGATATTTTATTGAAACTTCAATAAATCTGGACTATTTATAGAGCTCAACAAGAGTTTTAATTGGTATGATATGCTTGTGTGTGTGTGATGAGTTAATCGAACTCACCAAAAGAAACCTGGCTACTAAGAGTCTTGAAAGACTAAGATAAGTAAAATCGATGCCACATCTGAATTCTGCAGGGCAGCCCTTTCAATTTCCAAACAGCTACCTTAATTTGCTGGTTCAGTACGTAGAAAATTTAGCTTAATTTTTCTTTTAAGTTCAGGGTTTATAGTAAGTTGTGTCTCAATTAATGCCATGCCAGTATTCTCTCCTCTCAGATTATCTCAAGCTCGAACATCTTTGCTGTGATAAAAATTAGATCGTAGACCAAGTTAAGCGCCAGAAAAACAAAGAAAAAAAAGTGGAAACCCTGGATTCTTTGGCTGGGCTGCTCATGCATTAATACAAATTTATTTTGTTGCGTGAATGAAAGAGAGGGGTAGGATTTCCACTCAGCAGTGGGGCGAAAGATTAAAGAGGAATGGACAGCCAGAAATAAATTCTCTCAAACAAGGGGTTCTGATATCTGAAAGTACTCCATTTCATTAATAGAGAAGAGCAGCCGCAGCAGCAGCCTCAGCCCCTCCATGCCTCTCCCTTGATCCTCCTTTTGTTCACTTTGGTCTGCCGCCTCTGATGAGTACTTGCCTTGGAAAAAATGGGACCTCGAGGCCAGCCAGCCAACTCGTAGAACAGTCGGAGAAATTAAGCTTCCTTCCCTGCCTTTGGCTCCTTTTTATATATATTCGTGTGTGCATTGAACAATTCTTTTATTTTATTTATTTTTAATACACTCGAGATACAGATCTTCTTTGATGTGTGTGGGGGGGGAGAGTATAGTTGATTGAACCATGCATGCAGCCACAACATTCCAAACCCCGATCGAGGTTGTGTTTGTGTTAATTATTTATTCTTATTATCTTGATCAACTAATTCTTATGTTTTTTAAAATTTATTTAATTAACCCTTGTTTTATAGGTTTTTTTACATAATAATTTCATAACTAATCCTCATTATCTTCCAATTATAAAAAAACCATCTCATAAAAGAAGAATATTTATTAAGACTATACATAGTTAACTTTGGGACTAGTTAATAAAAACTAATAACCTGATTAATTGATAATTTCAAAAAACACAACAAATTAAAATTAATTCAACAAATATAAAAATTAAAACAAGTACAAATGAACAATGACCCGAACACCAAAACACCCACCGTCCAATCCATCACAAGTCATCGCTCGGATATTCCAAGTGATGTATGTTTAAAATAATTGTTGAGCTTTTGAATCTAAATCCTGAAAATATGAGGATACTCAAAGAATCTGAAAATTCAAGTAAAGAATTAACCAAAAAAAACTAAGAGGCATTAATTAGTGCCAGCGACTTCATATTTTTTCTTGTCCCTGTGAATTTTTACACTATGATCCTTTAATTTTTTTATTTGGTTCTTTGACATTGTTTTAATTTATAATTGATCTTGATAATTTATTTTTCATGAGCTAAGCATGATTAATTTTTGGTTTTTTAAAATAAAATTTAATTGAATTGAATTAAAATATTTAGAGTTTCAATACAAATTTAAAATTTTAAAAAATAAAAGGTATATGAGATCTTTAGGTGGTGTGTGAAGAGTCTTTTTAAAGCTAAATAATGACTTACATGATAACTTTGGAAGCCTCATGCGGTGCTTTTCTTGAAGGCACGACAATCAGGTTTCGACATGCTTTTTTTTTTTCTCATTCCTCTTTTCTCTATTTTTTTTTAGTAATTGAGCTAGCTTGCTAAAAATAGGATGTGTCGTCATAAATTTTTTATATTAAATTTAATATGTATCTTTTTTATTAATATTCATTTATTATGAATCTTTTTAATTGATTTTGCTTTTCATTTTCTTTCATTATCATTTTCTTTCATTTAATTTTTATATCAAATTTAGTTTTTATTCTTCTTATTTATATTTGTTTTTTAATTATTTTTTTGATTGAAATTCTTATCAATTTCATCATTTAGCATTTTATTTTAAAGTTGATCTTCATTGTTTTAATTATTATTTGTTGTTTTTTAATTTTTTTTATTTTATCCATTATTATTTTATTTATTAAAAATTTAGCTTCATAATTTTTTCAAAAGTTATTTTTTTATAAAGTTACTTCCTATCTTATAATTCAATTCATGAATTTCAAACATTCATCTAAGTTAATTTCAATCTTTTTTTATATATTTTTTAAATTGTTTTTTTCTTTTTAATTTTAGTATTTAAATATTAGATTAATCAAGTATTATGTTTTATAATTTTTCAACTTTTTTTTAAGATTATTTTAATCTTTAACTTTGATTTTAAATTTTTTTTTTAGATTGTTTTTTTTTTAATTTCACCTTTATTTTTTTTTTAATTTCACCTTCAAAATTAGATTATCCTGTATTTGATAGTTTTCTACTATCCTGTATTTGATAGTTTTCTACATGGTTATTCCAGTTCAAAGAAAGAAATCATGTAGCTAAAGAAAGAAATCATGTAGCTAATGTGAGTTAAAGCTAATATGATAACTCACGTGAACTTAAGTTAATTCTTTTTTAGTTTGATTTTTTTTTTAATTTTATCTTTTAAGAATTAAATTAAATTTCATAATTTTTCATTGTGCTTTCTATAAAACTATGATATTCTCATTTAATTTTTATTTTTTTATTAAACATTAAAAACATACCTTTATATAATATTAACAAACATACTATTTTTTATTTTTTCATTGCATGTTTTTTTAATCATTAACCACGCTTATTTAATCAAATTAAATCTCAATTTTTTTTTCCAGACCTAAGTCATTGAGAGCTAGAAAATTATCTAAACAGCTCTTGAAATATAAACTAAAAACCAGTACAAAGTCCCAGAAACAACTTAGCCATCTTAGGAAACATCTGTATGCTTCATAGATTGACAGCATTTCAGGTAGCTTGTCACAATTCACGCAAGCAGTAGCTGATAGACAGCAAATACAAAAAAGGATCTCTCGGCTAATTCACACAATTCCTGGCTTTTAAAGGCTTATGTCCCAGTATTTCTGCGGCCAACACGAGCAACAAAACCAGCTTTAATTGGAGCAACTGATCGTCCAGAACCACACTGCACAAGTATTAATAAGATCAGCAAGAACGAGCAAAGCAGAAAAAGGGACAAATATAAAAGCCACAAAGAAGTCAGCAACCTGAAACTGGCATATTCTTGATATTTGCATGTAAAGCAACAAGGAATTCATGGAATGGAGAATAATGACAGTAAATGATAAGAATAGATTCAACCAAAAATGCAGATACTGATTGGAAAATAAAAGAAAATGCCAAGTCTATAGAGGAAAGCGCTCAACAAAAAGCAAGGTCCCAACGTTTCCCACGGACACTGTAAGCAAACACAAGGGCACTCACCTAGGAGGGCCTTGGATGGACGTCATACATCTGCCTATGAGGTTGGAAAATCTAGCAATGGACATCTCATCATATCTCATGTCTCAACTTAAGAGGACTTGGCCAGAGATAAATTTGGATACCTATTAAAGGTAGCAACCAAAGTTGTACAATTTTCTTTCCAAATCAGCATCCACTGACCATCCAGTATTTTGTTATCACTTATGTTCTTTGACTCAGTTCTTTATCAACAACCATAATAAAGAGACAAAAGGATAATCAGTTGTTACCTTCTCACATCTGAGAAAGAAGAGACGATTCTCTTTTGACAAAATGGTGTCAGGACTCTTGCAACCAAGACAAATGACATACTCATCTGAAAATGACATAGAAACATTCAAATGTGTTAGGCAACAATAACCCTGCCCCCATCAATTCCTTCAGGAAAGCTTAGCATAGAAGGAATCAATCGATAAAGTTATATACTTACTGATATATCGACGTAGGATCCCTTCAAAATTTTTGGGAGCAAATCTTCCTTTGACAACCAACCTCTGTTGCCCATCAAGGGATCCGCTGGTACCCAACTCAGCAAGGAGGAAAGCCATGACATGGTCTGCCTGCCGATGCATTCTGAAATTCCCCCACCAAAGAAAATGGAAAGATAAAGTGCACATTCAGTATTCATGCCAAAAACAAGAAGCTGTGTACTAAAAAACAAATGATAACAAGCTACGAAGAAAGGCAAAAAGGAGAGCAACATCAACTCACGTCCTGCACAGATCCATGAAATTCACAAAAACAGTCTTCTTTGTTCCCTCACGAAGAACTTGAGGAGGCCTCATCACAGTTCTTCGCCTGTCACCAGCAAGCTCAGGATTGTTTTCACGCAGAATGTTGAAAACTCGACCAAGCAGCTGCCAATGACACAACAGAAAGAAGAAAATTCATTACTCCCCAAGAACATTTATGATAAAAAATAAGGGAACCATGATGTCTCAGCCAAGCACTTAGCCAACAAGTAGAGAGCACAGATATAACAGAGATGGAAGACCTAAAGTAACTATAATCTAAGGGATTATGTGATTACTCATTATAAAATATCAAGATCTTTTAGCCAATCTATTACACAAACTATAGTTCAGAGAAAGCAGAAAAATGAAGTTCCTTGTGCGATTGGTGCTACTCCACATAAATGAATTTTTTTACTGTACCTCCTCGTACTCATAATCACGGTCAGTCCCATCCCAGGGGTTTCGTTGCTGCTGCTGCAGGTCAGCACCCTCCCCATTTTCATCCTCTCCTGCATGATCTAAAAAACCAAGGAATGCATCTCTCTCAGAATCCAAATAACAGAGTCGACATAGATTAAGCAAAGAGGGAAATTTAAAAGAGAATCTTATTACCATCCAAATCTTCTCCTGCATCCCCACTTTCCTCATCCAACATACTGGTTTCAACCTATAATTATCATACCACGTATCAACACAGATTCACAAAAGATCGGATAATACTAAAAAAAGGCACACCAACTTACATGTTTCTTCTTCTTCTTTTTCAAACCAGTAAAAGAACTCTCAAGCCCATCAGAGACTGTAACCAACAAAAAGAACAAAAAAATCCCAGAAAGAAAAATTAGGCAATCTTAGCACAACTATTCAACAAGAAAAAGAAATACTTTTAAGTAAATATACCTGACAAAGATTCAGTCTTGTCAGCCAGGGAATCGACTGCCTCATCTGAATTCTCTTGTATCACCACCTTCTTCTTCTTCTTCTTCTTTGTTGGATCAAAGGGGGCAAGCTGCTCTCACAAAGAAATAAGAATAAATTAAAAAAAGAAAATCAGCGTAATTAATCAAAGAAAAAGAAGAAGAAAAACAGACCTCTGCCACCTCATCCTTGACATCGATACTTTCGTCCGCCATGATTGCTGCATTGCATGAATCAAAATATAAGATAGAAACTGTACAGAATCTAATTATGAAACCCTAAGACATAAAATTATGGGATTTTACTTCAATAAACCCTAGAGAGAGAGAGAGAGAGAGTACCTTTGTGGTTTACTGCGTCTGCTGCTGCTGGGAAGGATTGGCTTGGGCTTTGGTCTGCGTTTCTGGAAAGAGAGAAAGGAAGCAGAAAAGTTTATAGTTGGATGGTGCTGTGTTTAGAGATCGATGTAAAGATGGCCCACGTCAGTTAAATGGGCTTACTTATTATGGACTACAGTCTGTTGGGCTTTTTTCATTTTCGTTGCTCAACCATAGAGGCCCAATGCACCTTCACCATTTTATTTATTTGTTTGTTTTTTTTTACTGATATTGGGTGAGATTCGTTTATAAATAGGTGGTCATACTATACCACTTAATTTTTTCTTAACATAAAAAGAATTATTCAGTATTGTTAAATAAGTAAGAAAATCTAGTACAGGGCATTGATTGGAATTGATTTAATAATATCGATTAATTTAATATAATAATAATAATAAAAAAGTTAATGTCTAATAAAAAAATAAAATCTTGTCAATATTATAAAAATACATTATCTAAATATTATTAAAAGATCCTAACAATATTATTTGATAAAAAAATAAAAATTGAGTGAAAACGGGATGACTTTGTAAAGAGCATACAAAAGAAATTAAATGAAATCATGAAGGTCAACTCTCAAGAAAACAAAATAATAAAATGTAAAATTAAAAAAAAATTAAGTCAACCTAGATTAATTTAACTAACCTACGACTCAAGATATAAAATTAAGATAACAATATTAAAAAAGGAGTGGAAAAACTCACAAAGTTAAAGACCCTATAATACAATATTAAATGATAAAATTAAAAAATATGTATTTAAAAAAAAGTTAAAAAAAATAATTAAACCAAACTAATCTTCAAAATATGTAACTTTAGCTATGAGATTAGGTTATTATATGGAAGAAAAACCCAAAACGTCATGAAAAAAAATTTACAATCATTAAAAAAAATAGCAATAAAAAAATTAAGAACCAAATATAATATAAAAAATAAATAAAATAAAACAATAAAAGATAAAATTGAAAAATAAAATAAATCAATAAAAAAATAGCAATTAAAAAAATAAAAACTAAATCTAGTATTGATATTAAATGAAAATAAAAGAATGAGGAACAAAATTTTAAAATAAAATAAATCAAGAAAGAAATAAAAATATAGTAATTAAAAAAATAAGAACCAAGTTTGATAAAAAAAAATTAAAGTGGGATGAAATTAAAAAAATACTATAATTTTATAAATTATTTCAAATAAAATAAATAAATAATAAAAAGAACATGAATTAAATTAGAAGAAAAATCAAATTGAATGGCTTGTTTGAAAAAATTGGAGAGTTTGCACGTGAGGATCAAGATGAGAGAGATAAAAAAAAATTGTTAGCATAAAGTAGTCCATTGAACAAATGCTTTACTTAGTCATGGAAAGAACGGTAAACATTTTTTAACATTGCTCTTAAATAAGATGTTTGGTTAAAGAATAATGTCACACACGATGCTAGAAGCTGGCTTACCCAACTCACGCGCTGATGCATGTAATATACTCATATGTTATTAATATTATTATTTATTTTTAGTAAATTACCAAATTACCTCTCAATCTCAGTAATAATAACAATAAGTTTAGTTTTTTTTTTAAAAAAAAAAAATTTAATAATTTTATTATTTTTTTAAAAATAAAAATATCAAGAAGCTGCTGCATATGAAGTTAATCTTTTCTCTATTAAAGAGTAATTAAGTTTTTTTTTTTAAAGTAAAAATAAATTTAACTCCGAGGAGTTTGATAATACCAGTTGAATCTTGGGGGAATATTATTTTGCCCCTATCTTTGCACTTCCTGGCTTGCAATGTGAAGGGGAAAAGGTATTATTATATTGAAGAAATCTAAAATGAAATGAGGCTTTGATGTCAATTAGTTTATATATACAATGATAATGCTGGATTTATCAAGGTGGACTTTGGTTACTTGCTGTTTGTGTAATAGATGGAGATAACAAACTAACTAGGATATACATGTTTGTCTTGGATTAAAATAAAAAATATAAATATATATAAAAAAAACTTATCTTCATAAAATTTTTTAAATATCTTTTTATCATTTAAAATCAAGAATATCACTCCTATGTATTTTCTATCAGTGGTCGTGTAGGAGTACCAAGTTTTAACAGGAAGTACCCGAGTATCATTAGCATCCTTCAAGGACTCAATTATGTTAGTTTTTAGATCTGAACTCAATTATGTTTTACCCAAAGTTTTTAGATCTTGTCTGTGGGAGCCGGCCCAATTTAAAGTTTAAGTTTTTAATTTTGACTGAGTTATCAAATTATTTGAGTTATTTAAAAAAAATTAAAATAATATTACTTTAATAAAAAATTAATCAATTATAATTAGGTTATTGATGGATGTCAGGTTAACTTGTTAGGTTAGTTAGGTTATATTAATTTTTTTTTGTTTTTTTTTAATTCATTCTGATTTCATTTCTGGAAAGGTTAAATTTCAAAAATATAATTTTATATCATTAGACCATGGAAAATATTTCAATAACTTCACGATTCCATATTTTGAAAAACCATTCTAATCATTCCATGCCTCTTTGACAAACTCACAAAGCCTGGGATCAGTCAATCAATCAACCAAGATTATTGGAACCGAAATAAACGAGACTTAATTAGGACAAGATGACGAATCTAACTAAACTGAAGCAATAAAGTGACTTTGAATTTAGACTTGCATCTTAAAGAGGTTGGTGAATCATGGAATAAGTCTAGTTCAATAGTCTTTCAGTCTTGCGTGGTATTGTATTTCAAATATGTTAAAAATAATCTTGGGTAAAATTTATTTTTTTATTTAAAATATTATATACATATATATATATAACTGGATTATTTTAATGTGTTAATATCGAAAATAATTTTTTAAAATAAAAAATATTATTTTTATACATTTTAAATTAAAACATACTTCAAAAAAATCCATGTAAAATTGAGATTGATGCATTCATGGCGGGTTAGCCTATAAATACTCTGAAGTAGGACTTCTCAAAATGAAAACAAACCGTTTATCCCAACGAAGAGTGATCGATTGTTTCTAAATTATCCTTTCTTACCTCTTTAATGGATTCCTTTGAATGGTTTGGAGAGTGAGATTAACTCGAGATAGAACGAGAAGCTCGATCAAGTCCCTCCTAAATAAAGTTCCTCGATGGAGCTTTCGGACTAGCATGCACAGTCGTAAAAGGAAGATTTTTGTTGTCAAAGCTAATACTCGCTTGCATAAATTGTCTTCGACGAGCAACAACCTGAAACTGTCACTTCACTTGAGAGACCCTTAGGCCTCAATACAAAAAGGATTAGAAAAACCGGGTCTTTTGAAGCCCACTGATGCGAGGTTCCACTATTACAAGAGCTTTTGGCTTGTAATGAAAAGAATCAAAATAATGATAAGTTTGTGGCAGTTCAAGTCATTACACTCATTAGAACATTCAACGCATTGCCGCCCCACTCACTCCTTGACTGCACATTCAAACATTGATGTTTATGCTGGGAAATTTATATAAGAACACGGTTAAATGGTGTATTTACTATCAAATTAAAAGTAGAATTCACTTTCAAGGTATAACATGAACCGTCGTCGAAGATTGTTTGAATAATTGAGCCAAATTCACGTCCGCAGGTCTCCATCGAGTCTAGTTGGCACGGTGAGACTGGCAACGTTTTTGAAAGCAACCTTCTATGGAACTTGTTCCTTTACCATTTCAATGAACACAGGCTGAGAAGTTTCCAAGGATTGACTGGACATGGGACCTCCTGGTCTCGGTCAAACCATGATGTTCTACTTCTATTGGTGCACGCTTCCCTACGACAATTCACCAGAAATCTGGCTTCGTAACTGCCCCCCTTTCACATATTGTCTCAACATCTTCTACTTCTACTTCAATTATTTGTCTCGCAAAGAAAGAAGGTGGACTCTGCTTAGCTTGTGACTTTGGCTAGTCAAAAGGAAGGATGCGGCCAAACATCATCTGCTCCTTCTATTTCGAAGAAGTTTCCTCCATCTTTTCATGGGATTTTGGGTCCAAGTGATGGAAATATTTAAACAAGAAAAATTACGGCTAACCTCTTCTTTTCTTTTCTTCAAATATTAACCTTTTCTTGAGGGTTAAGACACGCTATTAATTAATCATATATAGCACTGGCCAATTTAAATTAATGGGCCCTTTCTATTCCTTGATTTGTCTTTTTGTATTTCAGTCATGTGGTTCTGTCTAAGAAGCTTGCAAATCGCTATTTCTTATCCAGATTCAAGGAACGTGACCGTAATTTGTAACATCAACGCATGGAAAAGGGGGGAAATTAATCAAATATACTAAATATTAGCTTGGCCTAGAAACAAATGGGATAAATTCAGACCTCATCGGTAACAATGTTAGATGATTTTCCTAAATCCTTAATTCCCAGAGTCATACGGCAGCGAGAAATTGACTGGTGGTTGAACCGCCAAGGATTGTGTGCCCTAAGCGGCATGCTTCTCTCAGATCTTCTATGTTCATACATGGTATGATGCTGTGACTTGCAAATATAGCTGAGAAACACAAAGTTTTCTTTAGTCATGGGTAGCTAGAAGAGGGCCAGAACAGAAGACAGGAGCTATGTACAGGAATGTTGAAGACAAACCACAGATGTTGCGATGGACGGCTATGGTGTGTAATGCAGCACGTCTGTCTAACAGAAACAGTTCGATTTTTTCCATGTTTTTGTTTGACAGATTAATGACATGCCTAGCTCTCTTCCACGCATAGTTTCACCAAACCAATATTAAAAATAAATTAACAGTTGAGATATTAGTTTCCAACTTGGATGATTATCACGAACATTTCTCCAGTCAAGATATCAAAGGATCGTAAGAGATTGATTAAAAAGTTATCATCAAGAAATTAACTTTAAAAAGTGTTATGATTTCTTGATTTTTTTAAGCAAACCATGTGATTTATATGCGATGTTTAATGGCTAGATTAGAGATTAACTGTTAATCAAATACAAATAAATAAAGATAATAATAATGCAAGTAATGTAAATCAAATCGATCGATCTAGAATTCAAATGGTGTTTAACAGTAATAATAAT